TCACTCCTCCGTGATTCTGTTCCCATCGACCAAATGCAGGCTACATTTAAATCAGGGGGTCATGGTTATTAATTACTCCTCTGAGTTCAGTGGAAAGCTCAAGGAAACAGGGGGAGGAGCAGATGCATGGGAAGCAACGCCAGCAGCACACAGATAGGAACAAAGGCCTGCCACGAAGGTTCATGCCTCCCACTGCTAGAGACCCATACACTGCCGTGGCTCTGCAGACTGAGAGGTTAAGACCACCTAGGCAGATTTCCCTTGGGGGCTATTATCGCCAGGAAGATGAAATGATTTTCAGAGAGAGGAGCTTCCACACACAGATGCACAGTTTCTGATACCGATCTCACTTCAAGAGAGGTTCTTCTTCTTCTTCTTCTTCTTCTTCTTCTTCTTTAAAGTAACTGTCAATCAAGTCTCATGTCTAAGAACAAAAGCTCTGATTGATCATTATTTTAGGCAAATGTCAAGACAAATTTATTCAGGATTTATCCTTTGCAAAAAAATCCCAAAACTGTAAAATGCATTTTGTAGTCTCAAAACAGCATGTGGTACAGGGCGGTGTGAAAAGGACACCGCGCTACAGTGATCAAAACAAGAAAAAGAAAAACGATTTATAGAAATTGCATAAAACACACATTACGATGAATATGAAGGAGGCTGTGGAAATCTTTTCTTTAATTTTTTCGGTTGTATCTATCGCGGGGCTACACAAAGCCAGGCAGACCTTCAATGGTAGCGATCTATAAGTAAGCAAAGTGGGAAAAGAAATATAACAGCTGGTGTGATTTTTTTGTTGTGTGTGTTATGTCTCCAGTTTGAATTTGAAGTAATCATTTTTAAAGATTTTTGTGTTTTCTTCATTTACACAAGTTTAAAACTAATGTTACATGCAGAGTGTATTTGAGCATTTACACGGATTCATGATGATCTGTCTGTGAAGAACTCTGAAGCATTCATTTCCTTGGATTTCATTTCATGACTGCAAAGCCTTTACATGCTGCACAACATTTACATAACATAACATCATGGCCACCTGCCTAGCATTGTGCTGGTTCCTATTTTTCCTGACCCATTGAGTCACGGACTCCACTAGACCCCCGAAGGTGTGCTGTGGTATCTGTAACAAGATCAACCAACAGATGCCTGATTGGATTGAGATTTGGGAAACTTGGAGGCCAAGTCAACACCTGGAACTTGTTGTTGTGCTCCTCAAACCATTTCTAAATCATTTTTTGCTTCGTGCCAGGGTTCATTATCTTGATACTAACTGCTGCATCGTCTGTTCGATCGGACCATACAGGCCAGCTTCGCTCTCCATGTGCGTCAGTGAATCTTGGTTGTCCATGACCCTGTCACTGGTTTGCCAGTGTTCTTTCCTTGGATCACTTCTGCTAAATACTGATCACTGCAGACCAGGAACACGTAACAAGATCTCCAGTTCTGGAGAGACCCAGTCATCCAGCCATCACAATTTGGCCCTTGACAACTCAAATCCTTGACTTCACCTGTCAGTGGGCGTAATGTTTGTGTATATGAGCAAACATCTGAGTTTATTAATTTGTTGTGCAATAATAACTGACAGAGCAAATGCAGTGGTCAAATTTTTTTTTCTATTTAGAGATGGAAAAGAGTAAACAATGTATAAAAGTAGCCTCAGCTTAAAGATGACAGTTGAGTGTGAGACTGTTGATACTAAACTTCACTACTCCAGACCCAAACAAACCAATCTCTGACTTCCTAATCACATATACACGCACACTTAACCACACATATTAACACTTTTGTTGATACACCTACCAATTTTCCTAAACATGCCCATGCACCACTGCTTCTACTCACTGCTGGGACATATTAAGTTTAATACAGTGCTCTGAGGAAGACAATCTCTTGCTTATGCTCCTTATTTACATTCTCTGTCTTCTTTCTCCTAACTCATCACATCAGCTGACTGAGAGTGCACTTTCCTCAGTTAAACCAATCAAATTTTGCCTTAACCTCTGACTGGGAGCCAGTAATTTTACAGCTCTCAGTTTTTTTAATGGTCTCTCTGCTGCTGTCAGCTGTTATTTCAGTGTAAGATCGATTCATCCCTCCTCTGTCACTTTTACCTCCAGTTTTTCACACACATGATGCCAAGTTCATAGGTAGTATATATGGTTCTATGTCAGATTAATCCTTCAGGTCTTCAGCATTGCTCCTTTCCCCCACACCACCAGCGCTGAGTGACTTCATCGGTGCATGACTGTATAGCTTGTGGCATAACAACCCCCTTAAAATGATGATGTCACAATAGGATTTTAATATTACAGCTCTCATAACTGTGCACGTCATGCCGAGGCTGTTTTCCTCCTCTAAGTCTGTCGGGAAAGCTCTGGTACACATCCTGAGTTATTCCAAACAAATCATTGTGCCCATTATGACTGACCAGCAATGACTTCACAGAGGTGAAGGGTTAAAGGTGAAGGTGAAGGTTTGTCAGGTCAGACCTTTTTTAGGCACAAAGGGTTTCTTGTAGACAGAGAGGTTTGTCAGGTACAAAACAAAAACAAAGGAAAGACTTACACCCAAATCAGTTGTTACGTCATGGAGCTACATCCGTAAATTTGAGGTGAGGTGCATTTATCGTTATAGTTTGTGTTGCATATTCACTGCATTTTACCATTAAACTACAGTAAAACACAAATCTTTACCTTTTTCCTGATCAGTACTTTAAAATGTTGGAATACTCTTAAAGAATTATGTTTGAATTTGAAGAAATGACTTTTATAATCCAAATATCATTTCTGAACAAAGTTTAAAAGATGTTTACATAAAATTGTACAACCCTTATCACAGAAGTTTTCGCTTCTTCCTCGTCCTCTCTATTGCCACCTCTAAACACAGTCATCAAAGCGTCGCCTTTAGCAGCCCATAGGCCTGCGCCGCACAGCTCACCTGGAAGATTATGGCTTAGAAATGTGTCAGTGCAGCTGTCACTGTGTTTACTCACACATAAGCGTGCTTTAAAAGTAGAAGCGACGCAGGCACTGTGTATTCCTCTGCGACATAATGCCATTTTGCAGCGGAGTCGAAATGATTGATCGTCTCACCGATTGACAGAAAATCAGCTGGTAGAAACTCAGATAATGAATCGTATCAACAAAAACACGAGAAAGTTGGTGGTTTGTTTTTCCATTTTTTTCTCAAGTATCAACATTTGTTGTTTTGTTTTTTCTAATGACTGTAAATTGAATATATTTGGGGTTTGGGATCTTTAGTGAAACAAAACAAGAAATAGATGCTGTCACATCAGTCTCTGAATTTCTGATGATTAACTCAGGAAATGTCGTGCAACTTAAGAGAACATGAAAAATGGTAAGATTTTGGCCCTATTATGAATTAAATGATTATTGTTATGATTGCCATATTCTATACTGAGTATTTGCTAATGACTTATAAGTAGCACTGTGATTGTAATGATTTTGAGGACCTGAATAAAATAAACTTAGCTGAAAAACTAAGGAAATGTGTGTTCAGTAGATTATTTCTTTGTTGTAACAAAGCTTCTTGGTACTAAATAATGTATTCATAAGATTGTATATAAAATTTTTATTTATGTTTGTTTAAGTGTAACACTGAGGTCTTTGGGAGCACTGCAATTTCAAATTCCTGTGTTTGATCTCTCCATATTGTTTTTGACAATAAAGTTGACTTTGATATTATACTGTTGGTAAACCTGTTTATTTCCCCTTAAATGCTCAACCCGAAAATGCATTTTCGGGTTGAGCAGCAGGGGTGAGTATGTTGCTTGCACCATGAAATACTTGCCAGGAAACCTGCCATGAATGCGCTTTATCATCAGACCTATTTGCTCTGGTGTTGGCAACATGTCCGCTGGAACCTGAACATGTGGAGGAACATTATGTTAAGCGATGAGCCCAGAGACTACCTCAAGTTAGGGAGTGGAGATTACAGGTGACTGCCTGCATTCCTGAACTCAACCCCACTGACCTCTTGTTGGATCAGCCTGGGTGTGCAGTTCGAGCACAATTTACCAAAAAAAACCCAAAAAAAACCCACACTGGCTAATTTTTGCTACAAATTCTGGTGAATGTGATGTCATCCAACAGTAGTGTGTGACCAAGCTGGTGACCAGTATGGGGAGGAGGAGCCAGGCTGTGTACGGTTCTTCCACATGCTGCTGAGGCTCCTGCTTGTTAAATGAATAAATTGTTAAATTCCTAATATGCTTCTGTTTCTTCAGACTTCAATCATCCAATCCAATAAAATAAAACAAAAGTCGAAAGCAAAATAAGCTGTTTAGTACTGGCAGAGATGATCTGGCAAGTTTGTCATGAGCGTAACCCACAAATGCATTTTCCTTACAAAAAATCAACCAAACACAAATTTCCTAATTTTTGGTGATAAGTTTATATCTTATTCACCTTCTGTTTTATTGAAACAGTAAAGACAAACATTGTGTATTGTATTTGCTTTTTCTCTATAATGCAAAGTACCTTAAAACCAAGAATGGGATTAAAAAGGTGAAGGTCCCATCATAACCTGATCGGACGGGACTGCCACACACTGGGACTCATGGTGTAAAATGTGCCAGGCAAGATCCTGTTGTCAACGGGAAGTGTGTAGGCATGGGTGGTGAGCAGGCAGGACTTACAATGTGATGAATCCTCGAGGTCTTGGTAATTATGGCTGTCAATGGACGGGGGGAGGGTTGGTGGAGGCATTTTATCTTAATCACAGCTCAGCTCCATTCAAATTAATTTGACAAGTTACCCCAACTCTTATTAAAAGACGCGTACCCCCCCCCCCCCCTCCTCTAAATGTGACATTATTAAAGAAGTATATTAAAAATATTTTTGTCAAAATAAAGGGGTGAAAGAGGACACCACGAGGGTTGAAGACGCAGAAATTTGCCGTAGATATTTTCTCCCTGTAGGGCGCCCTGAGCCATCCATCCCTCCCACCTCCCGAGTGTTTCTATAGTAATTTCCAGCCAATGATCAGTAGGTGTCCACATCCCTGCTTCCTCACCTCAGCACCAATCAGCCACACACAGCGACAGGAGACACGGGCTGAACTGAGACCAGGCAGACACACACAATACAGCCTCCGGATCAAGAAGAGAGGAAACACCTAACCACCTCTGCGATTTCCGCTTCCCCCTTCTCTCTCTTTTTCGTCCGACACCTTTTGGCTTATTTATGCACTTTTCAACCTTTTTTCCCCCCCTAGCTTGTCCAGAAAGTCGATAAAAATGATCCTTTTGTTTTGAGCGTTCTCAGCACACACACACACACACATACACACAAACACACAGTCTCCCTGTTCTCCTCCGGCAGCCTATGTCTGTGCGTCTTCTCGCGTCTTTGCATTATTTCCCCCCCGCGTATCCCTTCGCAGTGATGTGCCGTTACACGGTCACCGGCTGGTAGCATCTTGGGAGCTCTTCTCAACAGGAACCTGGTAGGTGATGCTCTCTCCCTCTCTCCCTTCTTCTCTCTCTCTCGCTCTCTCTCTCTCAAGCTTTCCCTCTCGCTCCGAGTGTTTGTCCATCCTTATTTTGGCGTCCGGTTGCATGTGTTTTACCCTCCCGTTTTGCTGTCCCGATTTGTGTCCGTGTGGCTGCCAAGTGATCCGGCCAGTGTCAGATTATTTTTATGGGGCTTTTATTCGCACTGTTACACCGCACTCCCTCTCCGGATTATCTATGCATGACCTTTGATCTGGATGTCTAGCTCAGACCAGGCTGGGTGTAATTAATGGCATCATTGTGCAGCACAGCAGAGGTACAGCTGCTGATCACCGGACGTGTTTTGTTTATTTATTTATTTATTTACTTTTCTTTCTTCGGTCTCCCTTTCGCACTCTCCACCTTTCTCTGGTTATCTTTCTCCTCTCCCCCTCTTTCTCTCTCTGTCTCTCCAGCTTCGAGTATTGAACATTTCTGTCTCTCTAAACTTTGTTTACAGGCTGAAAATCAATGTCCGTGACTTGATTGCCTTTGGGCTGCGTATTTCGCTCCAGGGGTGAATTGATTAAGTAATAATGACCCTGAGGAGGGCTGATCATTAAGCCAAGGAGGTTTTGTTTACGGGTGGCTGGCGGTTGTTTCAGATGCCACACTGACATTGAACTTCCAGATCTGGAGACTATGGTGGAGAAAACTCGTCTTCTCACATTTGCTTTGTGAAAATTAAAAGTGTAAAGTGTACCAAGACCTCAAGAATTGCTGGAAAGAGAGAAAAAAATATATCTATATAAAACCGTATGGAACACTATTTAGATTTTATTCTCCTGATAATCTGGTGTCAGGTTAACGGGACAAATGCTTGACTCTTTGGGCATGTTTAGTAGTGGATACACTTTAGTATATTGAGGACTTTGATAATGCCACCCAGTGTGATACCTCTTGTTCTGTGTGTGCATATTTATAATTCATTCTTTTCAAGACAGCTGCTGGGTAGCACCATGGAAGTGATTTGAAATGCTTTAGTGTTCTAGCAATGGATCAGCTTTGGCAATTAAGAGAGAAAGCCCAGAAAAAGGTAATGGAAGTAGGGGAGATGTGTCTAATGGGCTTTTATCTGTGGAAACCAAATCCAGACAGACTGGGGGAGAGAGAGAGTGAGAGAGGAAATGGAGCACCCCCACCCCCCACAAACACACACACACATGGACACACATGCATGCGTCCCGTCCTGAGGCAGCTGACACTGTAGTTGGTCTGGTCCATGATCTGGTTGGAAATTCACCAGTGGCTATCACTGAGCGCTGTCACAGAGTAAATGTAATAGAGCTGGCCATGAATGAATACCACTTGCTGCTCAGGCTGGTCAGAGTCTTGTTTACAGGGATGGGCCAGCTTTGCAATTACGGTTACTACAGGCGAAAATCAAGAGATTTGAAAATGTTTAACTCTGTAAATCCTCACATCCAAGCCAGATTATTTTTAAGAACCTCCTGCAGGAATTTTGTGCACGTCTTCACATGACATGAGGCTCTCTTCTAACTTTCCCAAAATAATATGATTTTGGATAGAATATTTAAATTTTCACGTTTTTATTAAATGCACTGCTGGATATCCAGATGTTTGTGTTTATTCTGTGAAGCAGCAGATTGAGTTTTCTTGAAAATATGTAAGAAGACCCTGGCAAGAGAATTTTTTTTAAATAAACATGCAAAAAATTTTCTCTCAATAATAATAATGACATGTTGGTCTGTCACAGCCATCACGTTATTGTCACTTGATGACTTTTTGTGATTATACTGTCAGAGTATAAACACTGTGCCAGAGGATTCTTCACAATATCAGCCTCTCTTTTTCAGAGAAAAGTTGAAATTGAGAAGTGGAAAGTGAACAGGATGAAAGTATTTGTCTCTTTCGTGTGTAACTGTTGTTTTCTTCTCATTTGTTTTGTTTTCTTTTTCTTTTTAGCTCTGGAGGAGACAAACCAGGATGGTAACTCGTTGTTCGTAACCAGCTTCACTTTGACGAAGGCCGCTGTAACCTCAATCTCTTCTCCTAAACACTGACTAGCGTTCCTCAGCCATGTCTAACATAAACAATGCACTTTGCATTGAAAATGGACAGAATGCAGATGTGTCTCTGCTACAAAAGGATAATCTTCAGGATGGTGGATTAAGTCAGCTTTTGGATTATAATGCAGAAATGGAAAGGTACAGGTCTTTTGCAAACTTTTATAAAACCAATGGGGCATTTCCACAGACTGCTAAGATTGCCCGCATCACGACGCCCATTTTTCCCAGTGCTAGAATTGGTATGTCCCCTTGGAACTGTGATAACGCCATGCTCTGGGGAAGGAAATCAGCGGCAATAAACCCTAATAGGACCAGCATGCATAGAAATGACTCCCAGAGGCCGGGGAAGCCTGGCGTGCCGCCAGAGACGCTGCAAATGGCAAATAATAATTTCCTCTCTACCTTATCCCCCGAACACTGCAGACCTTTAGCAGGAGAATGCATGAACAAGCTGAAATGCGGCGCTGCTGAAGCAGAGATAATGAATCTCCCAGAACGCGTTGGAACTTTTTCCGCTATTCCGGCTTTAGGGGGCATCTCATTACCTCCCGGGGTCATCGTCATGACAGCCCTTCACTCCCCCGCAGCCTCAGCAGCCGTTACAGACAGTGCGTTTCAAATTGCCAATCTGGCAGACTGCCCACAGAATAATTCCTCAGCATCCAGTGGAAACCCAGCAAAGAAGAAAAGGAAAAGGTGTGGGGTCTGTGCACCCTGCAGGCGGCTAATCAACTGTGGTGTCTGCAGCAGTTGTCGGAACCGCAAAACGGGCCACCAGATCTGCAAATTTAGGAAATGTGAGGAGCTGAAAAAGAAGCCAGGCTCATCGCTGGAGGTGAGAACCGGGGCTCTGCTTCCCCTTCTTTTGTTATTATCCCCTTGCACTCCAAAGCATTAACCTTTTCATCCAGTCACGTTCTAAGCCCTTGAAAATTGTTTCCATGCCCACCCATGCCTGAACATCCCCCCGGTTTCTCAAATCTGCCTACCCGCCTAGCCTAATTGGCAGTAATTAGGGGTGTTTGTGCGGAGCGCAAGCTGAGCTTGGCTCAGACACCCCTAATTGCTGCCAGTCAGGCTGGGGCTGGAACGCATCCGAACAACCCCGAGCTTGGCTCAGCTCCAAGCAGGGCTGGGAAATGGTTTTCAGCAGAGAGCCATCTCTCTCTGCACCCGGTCATTTTAACCAATTATGGAAACCGTCTCTGGATGGGGAGAATCAATATCTCACAAAGCCTCAGCCTCCGACCACCAAGAGATGGCGAGAGTGATGGCAGAGCTGCTGATGGCGTTTCTCAAAACATCCCCCAAGTTTTATTTGGGGAGGGGAATAAAGCACCCAGACTGATCCCTTCACACTTATCCTGTATGAATTGATTGTGCATATCACAGTGGGGTGGAGATAAAGTCATTTTACATTATATGTACGCCATTATGGGCAATTATGCATCAGTCTGGGGCATGATGCATAAAAAAATAATAATAATCTGGTCCACTTAGGAAAGGGAAAAACATATTAGGAATCGGCTTAACTGAGAGCTGGCAAGAGGCTTCATTAGGACACAGGGCTGAATTGTTTTTAAAGATTTGTTTTAATTGATCTATTTACCAGCTGACATTTGATTATCAGGTGCAAAGGCGGAATACGAATGTTGAGTTGCAAATATGGTTCTGATTATCCTGAGGTTATGACTTAACATGCGGCTGGATGAGTTTCCACCAAATGCAGCCCGAGTGCCAGATAATTTGTTCTCTAATCAGGAGATTACACAGGGAGGATAACAAGGTTAATTCTGAAATATTACCTAATCTTTGAGGAAAAACACCATGTATGGATGTATGCTTTGCTAAATCTGAAGTCAAGTCAAGACATCAGTTTGTCTGATTCTTGTTTGGTTCACACACGTGTTCAGTAATACAATGTTGACTCCACCAATGCCCAAGTCTGTGATGTAACGTTTTATTATTTATCATAAATGTCACTTTTGTTTTGCACGTGGAGATTTTCCATCAATTCAGTCACAGCCTGGCAACATTAGCACCTTGTAATCAATTTCTCCAGTCCAGAGCCTCCAAAGCTTTGCTTCTTGGTCAACGACACAGTAATCTACATGTCTGTTTTACTCAACTTAATCCCTTAAACTGATCAGCTGTTACACGCAAGCTCTGAAGGCACACCATCAAAGTTTATTGTTTAAATTCTGCATTATTTCAGAAGTTATAAATTTATTGCATGGCATGTGTACGAAGTGCATGTTTGTGCATTCACCCTTTCTCACCGTTTTCTTTTAGAAAACAGGGTGAACGAATCTCTCAGTGAAGTGGGAGGATTTCAACCTTTTTGGAAGAGAAATCAAGATTTCAATAAATAAATAAATACATCCATAACAATAGTGGGTGTCTATGAACTGAGATGGTTTGCTCTCAGGCAAGTAGAAATATTGTCACAGTGGGGATAAAGACAATGATTTTAAAGGACAGACATTACAAATATAAAAAGCGACTGTTTAGCAAAGAGACTTTCGAGGCTTGCATTTTAAATATTTTTAAATGTTTGGTGGCGTCATGCAGAATCAAATGTGTCAGGTTTGGATGTTTCTCTTAAAACATGCTGAAGCTTAGATTTAGAAAACAGTAGTGGGATCATACTGCACGCATGACTTGTCATACAGTGTACAAGACTCTGCTATTAAGGGGCAAAAAAATTAAGGTTTAAGAGTTTAATTAAATGGGCCATTAAGGAGGTTATTGAGTATGAGCTGGATGTGGATATTGCCGAGGTGTCAGTCTGAAGCTCATCGGATGCTGACTCTATAGATGATGTACTAACAGGTGTTCCAAACAGGTGTCCAGGAAGCTGGGCCCGAGCTCATAATCCATGGGTAGCATCACTTTTTGGAAAACATCCATTTGCAAAGAAGGTTAGAATTACCGAGGGTGTGAAGCCCCCCAAACAAATCCTAACTTGGATTTAAAAGCTTTTTCTCTTAGTTCAGTAATTCCTAGTATGGACTTCTCCAGCGCTAATTGTTATTTTTGACTCTGGAACTGTAATTACAGGTGCGCCTTCTGCAGTGTAAATGGGCTTGCATTTAAAGGCATCTCAGAGGTGTGAAGTTGTGCAGTTTTATGTACGTTGGCACTGAGTGGGTGTCTTTTCGCCTTGTTGACGACGCTCGGGGTTCGTTGGGATTTTATTAAAAAGTGTGAGGAGTCAAATGGTGCACGCAATATGCGCAGCATCACATGTTGTAACACGTAGTTGCACTCTGCGTGTCACCTTTTCTTCTTCTTCCTCTTTTTCTCTCGCACACACAAGATGTACGCAAACACACACACACACACACACACACAATCTAGCATCTAACTACGCAGTCACAAACGCACACACTGAACATGAGCCAAGTCTACCTTTTGCCTTGGAAGAGACGATAAGCTACTGGCAGCCAGTTAGATTTGGCTGTCAGTGTTTTCCACATGGGAATCACCCTGAACTAATTATATCTTAAGCAGCGGTGGAAATGCAAATCAGAATTTTACTCACACCCCTGAAATCGGAGAGCCAATTTAATCTAATACCCCCTTTAATTTAGCGCGCTAATGCAAGGCCCTAGAGAATTGCCCTCTGTCACCGCTGTGCTGTTCTGCAGCAGATTCTGCTCTCTGTCTGCTCCGTCTCTGTGCTGCTCTCAGGCTCCAGGATGGATTAGTCTGGCAGAGGAATCTCATCTAACCTAACATTTCCTGAGCAGTTACCTTTGCATAGCTTTAGCTCAGATGGCTCAGAGGTCCTTCATTAACTTTCAAATGCTATACTTGTATGAGGGTAAGCTGCATCTTCACCTCTGTTTACCTCACCTGTCTGCCTCACTCCAGCTCTTATTTCTGCATAGTCTTATTTTAAATTTCTTAATGTTTGCCAGTGAAGATACAGTACAAACTGTGCTGCACCGAACAAAACAGTTAAAGTACGTAAAAATGTATACGTATGTATCAATTTCACTCTTTGTAGTTATGCTTACTCCCCACCCCCCCAAATACAGCGTTTGGCCTTGTGGTGAACATAGCCTCATCTTTCTGCTAATAGTTCTCAAAATTACCATTATGTTACCAGGATGCTGCTATGACTCACCTGCTTAGACTGTCAACCCAAACCAAAGGTGCTGCAGAGGCCCGGGTGTCAAATAAAGGCCAAAATCACATCTTATATTACTTACTACTAGAATATTATGTTTACACATATGTTGTGTATATTTTGGTGTTTTCTGTTTGCTTTCCATTTATTTTAACCCTTCGGGTTTATGTCAGAGCACTGAGCCCATGTTTGAGAAATATTATCTCTAAGGTGGCGTACAACAAGTGCTTCAAAGATCTAAATATATTCAGTTTATTGGGAATCGTTGGTGCTTCTGTTCAAGATCATGTGGATGTTCATAAACAATTCTGCGTGTGAACTGAATGTGTCTCAGAAAAGCTTTAAAACATTTATTTTTCTGAGAAATCTTTGGACTCTGTCCTTACACTTTATAATTTATCAGTTCAGTTGTCATAGATTTTATTATACATAGCATGGCACTAGACGGTGAAGCAATCCAGGCTGAATCCTGACCATCCTGACCAGTTCCTGTGAGATATTCTAGCTATGCTACAAATTCAGCTGTTGAATTTTACATAATTGTTGACGCTGCATTTATAATGTATGTTTTTTTTCCCGATGACTCTCACTATTAAAGACCGTAAATCGGTGATTTAATGCCTACCATGCCTTCTGCAAATATATAATTCAACAGAAACTTCCTTTTAATTCCAAATGGAAGTTCAGCTTATTGTGAAGCAGGAAGTATACCGGCAGGAACAATTTTACTTAAAGAGTGCTTCTGTAGGTTTTGTTTTTTACATTAATAAAATAGTAATGACAAAGAAATCTACTTGAAATAACATCCTGAGAGGCTGCTATTTTAATAGCAACATAACACTGGAGAAAAAAAAGCAGGAAAGGACAAAGCCAAGTCCCGCTGAACAGATTCCTCTTTCAATTAACAAATGTCAAAGGGCAGCATCAAGTCATGTGCAAGAAAACAGCATCCCAGCGTACAGAGATGTTCGCTCGCTCCCTCGCTCCCTCCCTCCTTCTGTTCTTTGTGCTGTGTTGATACGACTACATGAAATGGGTGAGATGAAAAGGTGGCATGGCTGCCTGGAAACCTTTACTATTGTGATAAAAGACAAGGCCCGAAATGGTAGGAAGCAGGACCTTGAGTAAAATAGCTTGGATTCAGCCCCTTAATGAGAGTGCGGGAGCCAAATAAGCAACGGTAGCCAGGTCTAATTTGTTTTAGGTGTGCTCAGAATAGATAAGGACAAATCTGTGGCCTTCACCCCCCTCCCACCAACCTTTGCCTCCCTGGAGATAACACCGAGTGCTTCCAGTCAATCTCCATGGGCAAAGGAAAGGAGGGAATGAAATTTAAAAAAAAAAAAAAAGCATAGAAAGAAAAAGCCCGAGGGACGCGCAGCCTTTAGATCTGCAGATCTCTAACTTACTGGATTTATTCAAGCTTTAAAACTGCAGATTAATTTGGTCGCAGAGGTCTAAGGGGGGGGGTGCGAAAGGAAAAAAAGGGAAGGAAAAATGAGACCGTACGCTGCTGCGCATCTCCACCTAAAGGGCAACAGTAAGCTCCTGTCAAGACAATGGGATTTTGCCATCTGAACCACAACGCAGACCGCTTAATTATACACATCTTTCCTGCAAGGTACCCTCAGCTACTTAAGAGCCCGGGCCCCTTTAGTCATTGTCATGCCCTTTTTCCCCAAGATTGGTTGTGCCATGTG